TCATGCTGCACAACTTGTTGTCGTCGTCGTCACTCCCGAACAACGCATCACCGCATCTGCTGTGGACAGGGAAGCAGGGCAGCACAAAAATGTTACGAGTCTTCGGGTGCATGGTACAGTACAGACCCCCAGAAGCACGAGCGGGAAGATTTTCGCAACGGGCACAGTGGGGACTACACCTCGGCATCGAGAAAAATTACAACGCGTGGAGAATCTTCGACGTCCACACAAAAGAAACAGTAGACGCACGTGATGTGATCTTCTACGAACGACTCACCCTTCAGACGTACCTCGCCAACTTGCACGAGAATCGGGACCTCACCGGTGGTTTTTGTGGTGACCGAGCCTTCGCGTTAGCAGCAGATGAAGCAGACTGGGACGAGCAGAACGTCGACAACGCATCGGAGGAAGCCGGACCTCTTCCGTACTGCTCCGTCGACGTGCCCATGGATGAGGATAATCCTCGCGACAGTAACAACGCCGAAGTCCTCTACCATTTCGCCGACAATGGTTACGTAACACCTGCGACAATCAACACCAACGAGGCAGAAAGGGTAGGGCCAAATTTCATACCCGACCCAGAAGCGGGAGACGAAGCAGCTTATCCCGAGGATCCAGATCTCCCTCGATACTCACAAACTGGGCTGCAAATCCTTGGCCTCGTCACCGCAGTCCATGGCGCCGCCATTCCTAAGGAGCCTGCGACAGTTCAACAGGCTCTTGGAGGGGAACATAAGGAGAAATGGCGTGAAGCCATGGACAAAGAGCTGAAGGCACTGAAGGAGCGCAACACCTGGAAAATCGTTCCCATCGGCGTAGCACAAAACAAGACTATTCTTACCGGAAAGTGGGTCTTCCGTGTGAAGACAAAAGCTGACGGCACCATCGACAAATTCAAAGCTCGCTGGGTCGTACGCGGCTTTGACCAGGAGCACGGAAGAGATTACACCGAAACCTTCGCTCCGGTCAGCCGTCACACCTCACTCCGAATCCTCATCGCCGTCGCCGCCATGAAGAAAAAGAAACTGCAACAAATCGATGTCGCAAACGCATTTCTCTACGCACCTGTGGATGCAGAAATCTTCGTCGAACTCCCGCACGGCTTCCACGGCGAACCCAATGTCAAGATATGTTGTTAGGGTTTAGCCTTAGGAGCCATGCTAGGAGGTAGAGAGTGAGAGAGTTGGCAATGAAAGAGGACTTCACTATAGAGCTAAGGGTACAAATATGATAGGAAAGGGGGTAATCCACCAAACAGAATGTGATAACTACACTACTGCTATATCTACATGCAGTTACAATAATATAACTCTGACATCCCCCCTTAACTGCATGCAGGAATAGCAAAGCATAAATCACAACCCGCAAGTGTACTAAAAGCATTAGCACGCAAGAGCAATGACAACCAGTGCAGCAGTGGCAGAAACAACAGCAGAAACCCCTTAGCCAATACAGAAACGAAAGAAAGGTGCATGTGGCGCAGGTCGCCTGGAGAGCGGCGTGCGGCGGCAACAAGCGGCGGCACAGCAGGCTCAACGGCAGCACCTGCCGCTCAACAGCAGCAAACGAAAGAGACGAATTAAGTGGCAACAGGGGCTGCAGCTGGAGGTGCCACAGGAGCAGGGGGTGGCAGTTGCAAATGCAGGGCTGCTGCTTCTGCCACTCTCTCTCATACCCTCCTTTATCCCCCCTTACCCTCTCTCCCCCCCCCCTCCCCTCAGCAACAATTGCTGCAGGGAGAGAGGAAGAGGGAAGGGAGGGAGGAGCGGCACGCTCCTCACACCAGCCCCCTCCCCCCAACCCCCCCCCCCACGACGGAAGGGAAGGGCGGAATCACCCACTGCCGGCGCTGGCGGTCGCGTTGGCGCTAGCGCTGGCGGCCGTCGCAGCTGCTGGCGGTGGCGCTGGCGGTCCGCGCAGGCGCTGGCGCTCGCGGCTGGCTGCAGCGTTGGCGCTCGCGGCTGGCCGTGGCGCTGGCGTCCACGCTGGCGAAGGCGGATCGCGGGGCGACGGGGGGAGCGTGACGGACGAAAAGGGCGCACGGGCGCGACGCGAAACGAAGGGCCTGCAGAAAGCGAAAAACGGGACCCGCGGGGTTCGTCCACGGGGCGATTCGGGGGACCCGCGGGGCGCATTACGGGCGGCACGACGGGTGGGCCCATGATCATTAAAAAAAAAAAAAAAAAAATTAGGTCCTCAGGAGGAATTCCTGCTCTGTACCATGTCAAGATATGTTGTTAGGGTTTAGCCTTAGGAGCCATGCTAGGAGGTAGAGAGTGAGAGAGTTGGCAATGAAAGAGGACTTCACTATAGAGCTAAGGGTACAAATATGATAGGAAAGGGGGTAATCCACCAAACAGAATGTGATAACTACACTACTGCTATATCTACATGCAGTTACAATAATATAACTCTGACACCCAACTGAGTCTGTCAATTGCTTAAGTCGCTCTACGGGATCAAGCAGGCACCGCGACTGTGGCAGCAGTACCTACACGCCCGCCTCATCCGCATCGGTTTCAAACAACTCCCGCATGACCAGGGCATGTATCGCCTACAAAGGGAAGTGACTACGTTCTCCTAATCGTCTACGTGGAAGATCTCCTCTACATTGGGTCAACCGACGGCATCGCCACGTGGTTCGAAGGGGAGCTTCAGAAAGACCTCACGCTCATGGTCTCTTCTACCGTTACACAGTACCTCGGGCTCAACATCCGCGAGGAAGAAAACGCAATCTATCTAAGCGCCGAGAAGTACGCCGACACCGTCGCGAAACGCTTCAGCCTCACACCAAGCGCCATCTCCACGCCTTACCGCTACACGTCAGGAACCGAAAAGGGACGATCTACCCTACTCAAGCCCGCCGGCATACGCGACTATCAGAAGAAGCTCGGATGTCTTCTCTTCGCAGCAGTCACATGCCGTCCCGACTTATCCTACTCCGCGAGTCAGCTCGCCACCTATCTCAAGAAGCCTGAAGCAGAGCATCTGGCAGAACTCGATCGCGCTCTCCACTACTTCGTCAGCACCGCGACGATCGGACTAACTTATCACAAAAACGCGACTACACCGACCAAGCTAATCGGCTACGTCGACACCGATCACGCCGGCGACACCGACAATAGGCGCTCACGCACCGGCTATGTCTACCGCCTCGAGCCTATCGGTCCTATCTCCTGGCAGTCGAGTAAGCAGGAGCTAATCGCACTGTCTTCAGCTGAAGCGGAATATATCGCACTCTGCTCAGCCACCAAGGAGGGACTTTACCTTCGCGAACTGCTGGAAGAAGCGAAGTTAGCCGAGTTACCCAGCTTCACCGTGTTCTGCGACAACTAGTCAGCAATTCGCATCGCCAACAAGAACGGCTTCGCAAACAGGACGAAACACATTGCCCTGCGCTATTTCTTCGTGAAGGACGAGATCGAAAAGGGGAAACTCGATCTGTCATACTGTCCCACGTCTGAGATGGCAGCCGATTACTTGACCAAGAAGCTCGGAAAGCAGAAGTTCGAATACTGCATGCTGCTGACTGGACAAGGCCACGTCACCTGCGGCGACACTCCAGAAGCGAAGGGGAGTGTTGGAAACAATAAGTCTTAGTGCGCTTTTGTCGTGTCAAAACCCAAGACACTAGCGAAGCAGTCCGAATCGAAGCATCGAGTCAAACCTCGGAGGTTAGGGTAACCGCCTGGAGGTTACGGGAAAGTCAAAGGTCAGCGACCTTTGACTCGACAATTACAGCGCGACAGTTAAGGACACACAACTGACTCGTTACAGAGCAGTTGCCCGAGTCGCACTGTATCGAATCGCAACAGCAATACAGTTATCGATCTATTCGTATTCCCTGTACTCTTATATAAAATCTTGTATTTGCTTGTCTAATCTAATCTACCTTTTGCTCTCACACACTAGTGCAAGGTCGGTTCACAAACTTTATTAAACGCTTCCGCTATTACAAAGTATCCTACCCAGAGTTATCCTCTGCAAAGTTCCTTAAGGGCTTTCTCAGCCCAACACGCTCGTCGCACCTCGACCTCACGGCTCGGTGGGTAACCCGCGCTCCGGGCCTCCGCTTCAACATTTTCCCCAACCTCAGTCCCAGGCCCGTCGCGCGACAACCACAGTCCATTACCGTTACCACTGTAATTTCGCTATATATTCTTCGCTCATACCTTGGCTCATTGTACGTTTGCTTAGATAGTGCAATTCTCTTTCACTCACTCAATTGCACTCGTAACACTCTCCCTGATTTGCGTTTCGTGAACGGTCGGCTGAATCGTGTTACAGTACATAAACTTCGGCAATCCCTGGAATCTGGGAGGTTCTTGTGGAACCGAGGGGAGAAGACAGCTGGAGCCAATCAGAGTGGTTCGTGGATACCTTGGATTCGTGGGCCAGGAAGATCCGCAAACACCCTTTGGACCCCACCACAAACAAGAGCGTCCCTCGAGCTTGGTTCAGCTGGTATCCTACCAAGCTGGTAACGGGCGTGTTCAAAGCGAAATCCAGACGGTGGACTGAAAGTCCTTCCATAGGGCAGTTCCCAGGCGTGCCACTTCGTTTCGCAGATATTCTTCGCAGTGCACCACCTTGCTTCACCCGCCCCCATATTGGCTGTGATTGACGAGATGACGGCGGTAGGCCTTCGCTTCGCACGACTTCGTTACAACGTCAGATTCACGTCCAGAATTTTCAGCTGTGAAAGATGAACCCCATTCCAAAGACTAGGGCTGGCATCCTCGCTATCATCCCTTCAAACTCAACTAGTTCATGCAGCTTGTGGAGTATTCTCGTCAGATCGCCATGCTTGCACAGCTGGTCCTTCGCGAGAGCTGCGTCGAAGGCCGTGAATCTCGGTCGTGAGATTCCAAGCTGCGGACTTGTTCAAGTGTACTTCCTGTCCGTAACTCCTGGCGGACCAAAAAAAAAACGAGGCGAGCCCCGTTCCGTTGTTCGCTTGAAACCCGTAGCGCCGCTTCGATAATCGTCGCACGGCGATCATGGACGGCAGAGGCCAGTCTTCGCACGCTCCCAGGCGTCGCAGTAGCTTCGACGGAATCCTTCGCGAGCAGGCCACGACTCCTAAGGTCACGCCCGCCACTGTCGCCGGCTCCGATGGCGGCCTGCGACGGCGACAGATAGGCAGACAGCCGCAGCAAACTTCGCAGCAGCCTTCGCAGCAGCAGCGCCGCCAGGAGCAGCAGCAACAACAACAACAACGGGGAGCGGACAAAAAAAGCGGAGACAAAGCTGACAAGGGCGAGAAGGGCTTGGAGAAGAGCGAGAAATTCGACAGGAGCGGGAGATTCGAGAGGAGCGAGAGCAGGAGGGGCGGGCGGTGGGGGTGCATCGACTCGTGCTGCTGGACCATGGGGAACGCCGTGTTCCTCTGGTTCCTGCTCATGCTCGCCTATCACCTCATGCCACGTCAGCAGATCCAGGCCATCCAGGACGCGCTCGTGGGGCTCCCCGAGGTGGAGCCGCCTGGCGCGCGGCTGGCGGGGGAAGGCGTGAAGGCGAAGCACCCCGTGGTGTTCGTTCCGGGGATAGTCACAGGTGGGTATACTCACAGCTCGGTCTCGTCATTTTTAAAAGGCGGAACCGGGCTCCCTCGCGCCCCTTCACTAACGTCTTGTTCATAATTTCTCAGCCTTTTTCCCCCTCCCCCCCTCCCCCTTTCCCTCACTCCGCTCCTTTCTCCCCTTCCCCCTTTTCCCCAGTCCCACCTTCCCCCCTTTCCCCGCTTCCCCTCCTTTCCCTCCCCTCCTCCCTCACTGAATCTCCATGCTTTCTTACTCTACCTCCCTTCCCCTCACATTGTCTGCGTGCGTTCTCACCCCCTCCTACTCACCCCCTTCCTTCTCACCTGCGTGCTCTAGGGTGTACGGAACATGGTTGTGTGCCGCCGCCCTGATGGTTGCTGGAAATCGCCTCTTTGGTTTCAACACGCACCTTTCCCCTCCTTCCCTCACACTCCTTTTTTTCCCTACCGGCACCCACCTTTCCCCCTCCCTCCTTCCCTAGCCCTGCTTCGTGTGTGTCTCCTTCCCTCTCTCCCCTCCTCCTCCCTTCCCCCCTCCTCCTCCCTCTCTCCCCTCCTCCTCCCTTTTCCCCTCCTCCTCCCTTTTCCCCTCCTCCTCCCTCTCTCCCCTCCTCCTCCCTCTCTCCCCTCCTCCTCCCTCTCCCCACTCCTCTTCGCTCTCCCCTTCCTCCTCCTTCCCCGCCCTCCTCCTCCCTCCCGCCTCCTCCTCCCTCCCACCCGTCCCCCTTCATCTCTCCCCGCTCGCTCATCCCCCTTTTTCCCCCTCTCCCCCTTTTCGCCTCTCGCCTCCCCAGGCGGGTTGGAGCTGTGGGAGGGGCGGCCGTGTGCGGCGGACCTTTTCAGGAAGAGGCTGTGGGGGGGAACCTTCGGGGATGCTTACAGAAGGTGCGCGGGCTCGCTGGGAAGATGTGGCGTGTTGAGGAGGATGTGATGAGAGTGTTAGTGTGGGTGTTGAAGAGGGTGTGGGTGGTGAAGAGGAGAGGGGTGGGGGAGGGGGGGCGTGATTTCTGTGGCCGGTGATCGTTGACTTTTCCACACAGTTTCCTTTCATTCGCCTCCCCCCAGGCCTGGCCATTGGATGGAGCACATGTTGTTAGACAACGAGGCAGGCCTGACAACGAGGCAGGCCTGACAACGAGGCAGGCCTGTCAACGAGGCAGGCCTGTCAACGAGGCAGGCCTGTCAACGAGGCAGGCCTGTCAACGAGACAGGCCTGACAACGAGGCAGGCCTGACAACGAGGCAGGCCTGTCACGACACAGGTCTGTCAACGAGACAGGCCTGGACCTCCGGGGTACATGTGCGCCCCGTGTGAGGCCTTGTAGCAGCGGCTTACTTCCTACCCACATACTTTGTATGGGCGCTCATCATCGAACCTCCCTTCACTCCCACCCTCCTTCCCCGCTCCCCTCTCCCTCCCCCTGACCCCTCGCCCCCCGATTCCCCCGTCCCAGGCCTGGCCGTTGGATGGAGCACATGTTGTTAGACAACGAGACAGGGTTTGTAGACCCTCCCGGAATCAGGGTGCGGCTGGTGTCAGGGCTGGTGGGAGCGGACTACTTCCTGCCAGGCTACTTCGTGTGGGCGGGCGGTCATCATTTAACCTTTCCTCACTCCAACCCTTCTCCCGTTTCCTCTTTACCTCCTCCTCCTCCCCAGGCCCGGCTGTTGGATGGAGCACATGTTGTTAGACAATGAGACAGGCCTGGACCCTCCTGGTATTCGCGTACGGCCGGTGTCAGGGCTGGTGGCGGCGGATTACTTCTTACCCGGGTACTTTGTGTGGGCGGTGATCATCGAGCAGCTCGCCAAGATCGGCTATGAGGAGCGCAACATGTTCATGGCTGCTTATGACTGGCGCCTCTCGTTTTATAACACGCAGGTGCGTGTGCATGTGCTTGTGCGCATGCGCGTGTCCATGTGCATGTGCACGCGCGCGCGCGCGCGCGCGTGTGTGTGTGTGTGTGTGTGTGTGTGTGCGCGCGCGCGCGTGCGTGCGTGCGTGCGTGTGCGTGCGTGCGTGCGTGCGTGTGTGTGTGTGTGTGCGCGCGTGAGCGCGTGCGCGCACGCGTGTGTATGCATGCGTGTGTATGCATGCGTGTGTATGCATGCGTGTGTATGCATGCGTGTGTATGCATGCGTGTGTATGCATGCGTGTGTATGCATGCGTGTGTATGCATGCGTGTGTATGCATGCGTGTGTATGCACGCGTGTGTATGCATGCGTGTGCTTGTTATCGTGAGGGACTTCTATCCGATCTGCATATCCGTCGCCCCCCCTCCCATCGTACACCCATGTACAGAGACCTGACCTGTATGTCCCTCGCCCCCCTCGCCCAACACATCCCCCCATGCAATCATGTGCAGAAGAGGGATCAAACGCTCAGTCGCCTCAAGGCCACCATTGAAATGCTTGTGAAGGTATGCTCGTGCAGCAGGTACGCCCGTGCCATGTGGTGTGCCATGCTTTGTGCCATGTGGTGTGCCATGCTTTGTGCCATGTGGTGTGCCATGTGGTGTGCCATGTGGTGTGCCATGTGGTGTGCCATGTGGCATTCGGTGTGCCAAGAGGGTGCCGCACGCCGTTAGGGTTCTATACTTCCGTTTATTCACTTCTCAATCCTTGGCGCATCACCCTTTTCCTGCATCACCCATTGCCCACATCTCTCACCCCCACTTTCTCCTTCCCCCTTTTTTTCAGACCTATGGGGGAAGGAAGGCAGTGATGGTGCCTCACTTCATTAGTATGCTCTACTCCAGTCCCCTTCTTCCATCCTCTCCTCGTCTCACCCTTTGGCACATCTCCCTTTACCTCCACCTTGCTACAGACCAACGAGGGCAAGAAGCCAGTGTCTACTTTCTTCTCTTCATCTCGTGGCTCGAAGCACGGCTGGGGGGGGGGGGGGGGGGGGGTGCTTCACTCCATGAGAGTGCTCGTCTGTCTCCCCTCCCTCCGTCAACTCCCCTCTCACCCCCTGCCCACCTCTTTCCTGCACTTGCTATCCTTCTCCTATCAGACCAAGGGGGCAGGAAGGCGGTGGTAGTGCCTCCCTCACTGCATGGGCGTGCTCTACCTCCTCTCCTTCTTTCTCCTACTTCCTCATGTCCCACGTTCCCTCCGCTCCTCCCGCACTCTCTTATCATCTGCAGACCAACGAGGGCAAGAAGGCCGTGGTAGTGCCTCACTCCATGGGAGTGCTCTATTTCCTCTTCTTCATGAAGTGGGTTGAAGCACCAGCGCCCCTGGGAGGGGGAGGGGGCCCGCAGTGGGTGCACAATCACATCCGGGCCGTCTTCAACATCGGAGGGCCGCTTCTAGGGGCACCCAAGGCGTTCACTGGACTCTTCTCAGCAGAAGCTAAAGATGTAGCGGCTATCAGGTGAGGAGGTTGCAACCAACCACAGCAGTAGGGGAGGAGGGGGAGAGAGCCCGCGGTGGGTGCGCTTTCACATCCGAGCGGTTTTCAACATTGACAGGCCACTCCTGGACGCTCCCGAGGCCTTCACTGGACTGTTTTCGGCAGAAGCTAAGGACGTGGCGGCTATCAGGTGAGAAGGGTGTTAGAATGCTCCTATTCTTGTATCATGGATCTATATAGCGCGTCGTGGATAGTTACAAGCACCCAGGTTTAGCTTGGGTGTAGAACCAGGGTTTACCCCAATTGAGGGGTTGGGCCAACCCAACCTTGGTCCAAAATTGTGACCCACCAATAATAGGGCTCCCCAGTATTGGAGGTTCAGTATTTGTGGTCCTCCAACACAATTATTGACCCCTCCAATAATTGGTGACCCCAACTCATTGGTGGGGGCCAATAATTGTGGCAAGGCCGTCAACCCAACTCATTCCTCCTCCTCCAACTATGTAAACTCTCTCTTTTCAATGAAACCATAATTCAGTTTTCTCATAGGGAGCAAGCCTTGCAGTAGGGAAGAATGGAAGGAGAGTAAGTAGGTGCGCAATCACATTTGATCAGTCTTCAACATTGGAGGGCCCCTCTTAGGTTCTTCCAATGCCTTCACCGCTATTAGGAAGGGAAGGAGAGTAAGTGGGTGCGCGATCACATTCGAGCAGTCCTTTTCAACATTGGAGGGCCGCTCCGGGGAGCTCCCAAGGCGTTCACCGGACTCTTTTCGGCAGAAGCCAAGGATGTAGCAGCTATCAGATGAGAAGCCAAGGATGTAGCAGCTATCAGATGAGAAGCCAAGGATGTAGCAGCTATCAGATGAGAAGCCAAGGATGTAGCAGCTATCAGATGAGAAGCCAAGGATGTAGCAGCTATCAGATGAGAAGCCAAGGATGTAGCAGCTATCAGATGAGAAGCCAAGGATGTAGCAGCTATCAGATGAGAAGCCAAGGATGTAGCAGCTATCAGATGAGAAGCCAAGGATGTAGCTGCTATCAGATGAGAAGCCAAGGATGTAGCAGCTATCAGATGAGAAGCCAAGGATGTAGCAGCTATCAGATGAGAAGCCAAGTATGTAGCAGCTATCAGATGAGAAGCCAAGGATGTAGCAGCTATCAGATGAGAAGACTCGCTTTTTGCTCCTCATGCGTGCATCTGCCCTGCCTAGCAGAGTGCTGCACGTGGGCGTGCTTGACAGCCTGCATGCTCCTACTTTTCACCCCCTTGCCACCGCTTTGCACTTCCCCCCCTTCCCCCCCCCCCCCCTCCCTCTCTCTTTCACCCTCTTTGATCAGGGAACTAGACCCGGGGGTGTTTGAGCGCCTGCAGGCATGGCATCCGTTTACATTCCAACCCTTGTGCATGTGTCTCCCCACCTTTCCCCCCATCCTGAGCGCTAGACCCGGGCGTGTTTGGGAGCCTGCAGGCGCTGCAGCATGTGATGTGGGTGTCGCACACATGGGATGCCACCATGAGCATGCTGCCCAAGGGGGGCGAACAGCTTCCCTGTCGTGTGTGGAGGAGTGTTTGGGGGGGGGGGGGTCCAGCTTTCTTGCTAACCCTCCTTCTCACCACCCCACCACCACCGTCCGCACCCACTTTCAACCCTCAATACCACTGTTTCGGATTGGTTTTAATCCCTTCTATCACCATTCTGCACCCACTCTCATCTCCCGCCTTCTTCACCAGGGCGCTAGATCCAGGCGTGTTTGGGAGCCTGCAGGCGCTGCAGCATGTGATGCGGGTGTCGCGCACATGGGATGCGACCATGAGCATGCTGCCCAAGGGGGGCGAGGCCGTGTGGGGCAACGCCACGTGGGCGCCCGAGGACTCCTTCAACTGCTCCAAGGCGCGCGCGAAACAGCTCCACCTGCAGCAGCAGCAGCAGGCGGGGGAGAGTGGGGGGAACAGCTCCAAGGCGGGAGGGGATGGGAGGGCGAAAGGGTCAGGCAAGGGGCTGGGAGTGGAGGGGTTTCTGCGGACTTTGATGGCGGAAGGGGCGTCCTCCTCTGCCCCTTCCTCCTCTTCCCCCTCGTCTGCTTCCTCCGCTGCTGCTACTGCCTCCACTACTGGTGCTCACTCCGAGGGGTCTGGCGATGGCGGGCAGAGTGGCAGTGAGGGCGATGGTGAGGGGGATGAGGCAAATGCATCCACGAGGAGCTATGACCTTGAGACAAGCGAGCGGCGGGCGTGGTTTGGACGCATGGTGAGCCGTTTTTGATAGCGCAATAACTGTGCTTTCCTCCATAACTAGTTTTGTTTCGTTTAGCTTCTCTTTGGCTAAACCTTTTGGTTTCCGAAGTTTGGGCAGCCATGCTCTTCATCTCCCCAAGTCTCCCTCCTTTATCTCCTCTCTCCAGGTGCCAAGGCAGTGGCGAGGGCAGCAGCGGCCACGTGCCCTGCAACTTTCCACTCCTACTTTCCCTTACTCTACGTTTCCACCTTATTCCCCACTTTCAGATGTCCCTTCGGAGCAGCGTCAGCCACACTATCGGAGTCCCTCGTGTGCCCCTCAGGCGCCAAGGCAGCAGCCAAGGCAGCAGCCACGGCAGCAGCTGCCACGTGCCCTGCCGTCCCCAACTCTCATGTTTGCCCTCATCACTCTCCTGTGTCCCTCCCCTTTCCCCCCTTCTCCCCTTCACCAGGTGTCATTTGGAGAAGCGTCAGCCACGCTCTCGGAGTCCCTCGTGTGCCCCTCAGGCGCCAAGGCAGCAGCCAGGGCAGCAGCTGCCACGTGCCCTGCCGCCTCCACGTGCCCAGCCACGTGGGGCGGGCAGCAGTACGTTCTCTCCGACCCCTGTAGCTGTGCCATGCGCGATTTGCTGCCGGAAGGGGATGATGAGTACAGTGACGAGACTGCTTATAAGGGGGCGGAGGGGAAGGGAGGGGCGAGTTCTGGAGGGGAGAGGGACGAGTCAGAAGGAAAGGAAGAGAAAGCGCCTGTGAGGGAGAGTCGGCGCAAGCAGTGGCAGCGGCAGCTGGAGGAAACAGTGTTTCAGCACCTGCAGTCGCGCAACAAGTCGTGCGGGGAGGTGTGGACCGAATATCACGACATGAGCTGGCATGCGCTCAAGGACATCGCCAACTGCCCCTTCTACACCGCGGGCGACGAGAGCGACGGCCCTTCTGGGGGCATTCTGGGGCTGCTGAGACAGGTGGCGCCCAAGACGATGGCACGAGCGGATGAGAACTGGAGCTATGGGATTGCAGGGGATCTGAGCGAGAGGAAGTATGCGGAGGAGCCCAAGTACTGGGCGAACCCCCTGGAAACCAGGTCCGTGTGTGTGTGTACCACCTTTCTCATCCACTCCTGCCACGTCCTTAACCCCTCCTCCACGCACATCCCCCTGTCGCCCTTTCTCTCTCACCAGCCGGCCCCATGCCCCTGAAGGACGTGTTCTGCGCCTATGGGTCGGGGCTGCCCACAGAGAGGGCACATGTGTACCGCCTCTCTCCTTCCTGCACTCACGCCACCTTCTCTCTCCCCCCCTCCCATCCCCCCCAGCCTGCCCGACGCCCCGGAAATGGAGGTGTACTGCGCGTACGGCACGGGGCTGCTGACAGAGAGGGCATACGTGTACCGCCTGTCGCCCTCCAACGACACCTGCCTCATCCCCTTCCGCATCGATGCCTCTGCCAATGGGCCGCCTGGCCAGGTGGGTGCCATGTGGGACAGGTGCATGTGGGTGGGTGGGCTGGTGGCTTGTGGACAGGTAGCAATCTGTGGCAGGTGCATTTTGTGAGTCAGAGGCATGTGGGCCACTGGCATGTGGGCCACTGGCATGTGGGCCACTGGCATATGGGTTGGCAGCACATGGGGCATGGCTCAACAACACGAGGGGCCATGTGATTAACAGCAACACCTTTCTCACGCCACATACCCCAAATTCACCACAGAGGCCACCCCCCCAAACCCCTCCTTTTGCCCCCCGCCTCTCTTCTGTGCAATTCACCTCTTCAATCTCCTACTTTATCCCCTCATCAAATCCCCACTTTGCCTCCCTCCCACCCTTCAGGCGGGGGACTGTCTGACAGAGGGGGCATACTTCACGGACGGAGACGAGACAGCGCCCGTGCTCTCCATGGGGCTGCCGTGCGCCAAGCTGTGGCGCGGCCGCACGCGCTTCAACCCCGCCGCCTCGCCCACCTACCTCAGGGAGTACGAGCACCGCCCCACCTCGGGGCTGCTGGCAGGCAGGAGCACGCAGAGTGGCAGCCACGTGGACATCATGGGTAACTTCGCACTCATTGAGGATATTTTGCGGGTTGCCGCTGGTGCAACGGGGGCGGAGATTGGTGGGGATCAGATTTATTCTGATATACTGCACTGGGCCGAGCGGGTTAGTATAAAACTGTAGGAGACGGTTTGGTGGTGTGGTCTGACATTTGTATGCGTTATACGGTGTGTAGTGCTTTGATGTGCAGTATAATCTCAACTGCTTCACTCCGTTGTGCAGGTACTTGTAAGCTTGCTCTCCCTCCCATCCCACCCCTTTAGCTGGCCTGGAGATAGCTACGAGATTGCTCGCATACGTGCGGTAGGGTGCGGTGTTTACTCTTGGAAATGGTGTTTACACTTGGATACTTCACAGGTATAGCTATATATGTATGTACATAGCAAACCATTGGAGATCAGTTATGTGTAGTCTAAACTTGTAGAGTCTGTTGGGCTGGACAAGGCCCTTACGATCTTTGCAGGACTCAACTCTGAGTAGGAACAATATAATAGCGGAAGCTTTTAATGATAAGTCTGTGAACCACCTTGCGCTGGTATGTGAGGGCAAAGTAGATTGATTAAAGCAAAGAGATACAGGCTTTTATAAGAGTATGATAATTTTTGAAAGTGTAATGAAATGTAACACTTTCTAAAATTTTGTATTGTGAAAAGGAGTACGTGGCCAACACAGCAAAGGTAGCGCCGAAGCGCTGCTCACCCTCTTTTGCCTACAAAAGAGGGACGCGGGGACATTCGTCCCCACCCACGTTTTCATTTTCAAAATTGTAGTTCTAATTTCGTTCTCGTCCACCCTGGCGAAGACTCAGTCGCTTCCGCGCTTCACTGCCCCGTCAACGCTCCTTAACGACATCCTTAAGCGCAACCTCGCAACGATGGCTCCGGTCAACCCGGCACTTAACCGCGACAATTCGAATAATTCTAGCCCCGGTAACGCGGCGGAAACCTCGACTCCGGCCGGGACAACGGATCGTCGCGGCGGAAGACGTCCCGCCGAGGAAATTTCAAGCGAGGGGCCCTCGGCGGTCGACCTCCTGCTCGGAGGCACCCTTCGGACCCCCCCTGAGGAACGCGCGACTGTTGTACAGTCGCGCGTGGCTGCTGCTGAAGAGCGCGTGCCTGGCAGGCACGCGCGTGCTGCGCAGAAGACGACGAACGCCGTTGACGCGGCGGTCGTCTTGACCGGCGCTGACGCGGGTCCATCCGGGCCCACGACCCAGAAACGCCAGCGCGCGGCACCCTCCGCTGACGTCACCCCGGTCAACGCCGCCCCCACCCCTTTGACCGCGCAGCAACTGCAGGCGCTGCTCTCGTTATTGCAGCAGCACGCACCGTCGACTGCAGCTACATCAGCTGAAGAAATTTATGCGTCAGCTAAAATCGAAAAGCAGAAGGAGCCTGTCGCGGCTCCCCGCTCCACCAAAATCGCTCGCACCAACAACGCTGCTCCTGCTCCCGCCCCAGCTCCGGCACCAACCCAAGCCCGTATCCCCGACGACAGCGACGACTCAGAAAATGAAGACGGTGAGGCCCCCGACAACCTTGCCCGTCGTCGCATTCTCGCACCCGCACCTCCCCTTCCCCCCCTCAACCCTTCACCCGCAGCTACTACCTTCATGCGCAAGGGAGTGCGTGACTAGGCGGAGGTGTTCTCTGCAATTCAAGCTCACCTGAGGCACGTCGAGTTCAAGCTCCAAAACGGCGACGTCGAGGGCGCGCTCTCCAACGTGGAGCAAATCGACACGTTGATCAACAAACGCTTCGAGGTGCTCTTGGTGGCGGATGAGGCCGTTTTCGAAGCGGCGGATCGGTTCCAGCTGTACCAAGCCAAGAGCGTGCTCACATCCCGCTCTTACAAGCTCGCGGTAGCCGACGTGGCGGCCCTCAAGCGTGCACGTACCGGCTTCGCCCGCGGAGGCCGCCTTCCCCCTCGAGACGGTGAACCGGAAAGCAAAGGCTTGCCACCCGGGGGCTGCCACGAGCCCTGCTTCAAGGGGGTGTGTTTCCGTTGCGGCCAGCCCGGCCATATGGCAAATAATTGCCCTATGGGAGGGCGTGGCGCACAAGGTCCCGCACCCGTGGTGTGAGAGGACCCATGGGGCGGCGCCCCTTGCCACTATGCCGGGGGGCGTAGGTGGATGCACCGGTGGTGCGTAGGCTGGTTAGGAGCCTTGGGGAGTAGGATAGGCCATGGGGACCAGGGCAAGATGGCAGCCGTAGGGGCTGGTTATGGTGTAGGCTTGGCTTGTATGCCTTTGTGTGGATTAATAAAAGATTGTTGTTATTGAAAAAAAAAAAAAAAAAAAAAAAAACGAACAATGGAGAGAGAGAAAGGGAGCCAACTCGAAACGAGAAGACAAATGGCACAACAAACAAAACATCAGCCCCCTCTTGAGGAAGGCAGCCACGGAGGAGGAATTGGCCAGGAGTGCAAGACAAAGCAAGGACCGAGAGAAGAACAAAGAAGAAGGAGAGAGAGAGAGAGAGAGAGAGAGAGAGAGAGAGAGAGAGAGAGAGAGAGAGAGAGAGAGAGAGAGAGAGAGAGAGAGAGAGAAAGAGAGAGAGAGAGTGAGAGAGAGAGAGAGCAAGGGAGAGGGAGGGAGAGCGAGATAGAGAGAGAGAGAGAGAGCGAGAGAGAGAGAGAGAGAGAGAGAGAGAAAGAGAGAGAGAGAGTGAGAGAGAGAGGAGAGAGAGAGAGAGAGAGAGAGAGAGAGAGAGAGAGAGAGAGAGAGAGAGAGAGAGAGAGAGAGAGAGAGAGAGCGAGGGAGAGGGAGGGAGAGCGAGATAGATAGAGAGAGAGAGAGAGAGAGAGCGAGAGAGAGAGAGAGAGAGAGAGAGAGAGAGAGAGAGAGAGAGAGAGAGAGAGAGAGAGAGAAAGAGAGAGAACGAGGGAGGGCGAGAGAGATAGAGAGAGAGCGAGAGAGAGTGAGAGAGAGAGAGAGAGAGAGAGCGAGAGAGAGAGAGAGAGAGAGAGAGAGAGAGGGAGACGGAGAGAGAGAGAGAGAGAGTGAGAGAGGGAGAGAGAGAGAGAGAGAGAGAGAGAGAGAGAGAGAGAGAGAGAGGAACTATCACAACGACATCGTGATGAACAAGGTCGTGGGATCAAGTGACGCAAATGCGCCGATCTCGTTGTAAGGCAATGTAAAAAAAAAAAAAAAAAAAAAAAAACCTTGCAAGGGTATTAAAGCTGATGACTGCGCAAGCAAAGTAAAAAAAAAAAAAAAAAAAACCCCGGGAGTGCGGGGAGGCACGACGGCGGTAGAAGACAAGCGACATAGTTTGCCCGACGAAGTGTCCCGTATTATCTCGCGTCTAATCGGCCTTGGCCCTGGTCCCCCCCCCCCACACAACCTCGGTTGCCCATTAATTGCAGAAGTGGAAGGCGAGTGGCGGAGTGCTCATTGGGACCCATACGAGCACGCAATAACGGACAACATGGTGTCCATCATGCGAATGCGATTGCGCAACAGCCTCCATTGGTGGCTATCATGGTGCGACAGCAGTCTTATCCTTTCCATCATTGCCGAAGGAAACTGGCTACCATGGAAGGGCACAGAGCCTCTCCCCTTCGAAGCGCCCAATCACGCAGGCGTTCAAGCACATATGGCATTCACCCAAGACACGGTTAGCGACCTCATCGCGTCAGGCGCCGCGATGCATGTCTCGTCGAAAGCCGCACTGACGTGCATCAGCCCGCTCAATGTTGTGGAGCAACGAGACAAATGCCGGCTCATCCTTGACCTGCGGAAGGTCAACGCTCACCTCCAAGTTCCCAATTTCAAGTACGAAGGCTTGAGTCGGGTCGCGGAAATCATTTGCCCACACGACTGGATGTTCACAATCGATCTCAAGTCAAGCTACCACCACGTCGAAATCCACCCATCATGCTGGAAGTTTTTGGGCTTTCAATTGGGCGGAAAATTCTATTGCTACACATCCTTACCTTTCGGCCTGGCAACTGCCCCGTTCATCTTCACCCAGCTTATTAAGCAACTAGCCAAGAGATGGCGCGCGCGCGGAGTGCGCGTTATACCATACGTGGACAATCTACTATTCCTTTGCAACTCCGAGGCGCAAGCCCGTTCGACGTGCGTCGAAGTTCTCCACGACTTGAAGGCGGCATGATTCGTGATAAATTCTAAGAAATCACACCTGCATCCCGCACACCACTTGCGCTTTTTGGGGATGGAGCTTGACACGGAACGAGGGATGTTCCTGGTCGGAAAGGATTGGCGCGAACAACTACTGTAGGAGCTCCACCTACTTATACAAAAAGGGCAATCGGGTCGTCAAGTGCCGATTCGCAAGATAGCCCGGATCACTGGATTTCTCAGCTCCATGTCGCTCGCGCTGGGCACGACGGCGCGGGCCTTCAGCCATGAGCTGCTCCACTTGATCGACTCCGCATGGTCATGGAACTCAAAGGTTTTATTGTCACCAGGAGCGACCGAGGAGCTGCTGTTTTGGACAATGCACTTTGATCGTTTCAATGGCGCCCCATTCCACCAGAGTCAACGTTTTGATGCAGTGATACACGTCGACGCGAGCGCGCACAGCTGGGGTGCCACCTTGGCCAAGTTCCCAAGTACATCATGCGAGGCAAGCGAGTGCATGCCACAAGGGCTTCTCCCCACATCTAGTACGCGGCGAGAGCTCGAGGGAGTGCTCTGGGCACTGCGGACGTTCGCAACCCAAATCGTGGGTGCTCACGTCCTCGTCCGGGTGGACAACCAGGCAGTCATGTTTATCTTGCGCAAGGGGGGATCCCGTCAGGCGGATCTTACGTCGACATGCCAAGCGATCATCCAGTTCTGCCTCGGCAACACAACACGCCTCGCGACCGAATGGATTCCGAGGGAGCTCAACGCCCATGCGGATGACCTATCCAAGATGCAAGATTTTGACGACTACTCCCTACATGCACCTTGGTTTCGCCTCTTGGAACGACGCTGGGGGCCTCACACAATTGATCTCTTTGCTAACGTTCGGAACAATCACGTTCAGCGCTTCTGCTCCAAGATACCGCACCCCGACGCATTTGCCGTCGACGCATTTTCCATCTCGTGGAAAGGCGAGCGATGCTTTGCCTTCGCGCCTCCACACTTAATTCCCGCTACACTCCGC